GTCAACTAATAGCCAATTAACAGAATTAATGAAATATTATAAAGTTAGTTCTGTTAACTCTGTTAGTTGAAAAAGAAGATTTTTGACAGTTAACAGTCAATTAACGATCAATTAACAGAGTTAACAGTCAGCTAACAGAACTAACAAAATGTTATAAAGTGAAGGCTATTTTTTTCAATTTTAATAGATGAAGAGTTAAAAATGTCATAGTATAAGGTAATGAATTAAAATTTACAAATCTAGTAAGGTGAGAGGTTAAAAACATCATAATATAAGGTGAAGGGTTAAAATCTTCAAACTTGATAAGGTGAGGAATTAAAAGTAGGTTTTTGCCATTTTTGTTTTTAGTTTTAACTTATTTTAATTTTTTTATCAGAATTACATATCAAAGGGTTTTGGAAAAGAGAAGATTTTAACTCAAATTTTTTTTTTTGAACAAATTGAAATTATTTACATATTAATTAGGGGAAGAAGAAAAAAGTTCTGTGAGATTTAAACACGTAATTCACATAAACTGAATAATCTTAATTCAGAGTTTATATTATTGGATCGGAACGGACCTTTCTAACCCAAATTTAATAAGAAGCCTTATGGGAGAAATAATTATTTGTTCTAGCTAGAGTTTCTCTAATTTTTTTAGTTTTGTTAAAGAATAATTGTGAACAAAAATTGACAATTATTCTCTCTCAATTTGAATAGTGGGTAAGTAGTAAACTTTTTCTCTTTAAAGTTGTGGTCATGTTGTGTATATAGAGGATTATTTAATTAAATATGTATATTTGTTAATTCAATATATGTATAATGTATTGATTAAAAAATTATTATTTTTAAATTTAAAATTAAAAATAAATAAATTTCAAAATACAATTATATATATAATAAAAATTAATGGATATAATTAAATAATATCCATACCAGAGGTTATATTCATCAATTCTTTTTCTGCTGATGTATTGTGTTGAATTAATCTTGTGATCCAATATACTTTCTCTGTTATCTTGCTCTAGTTAGTAAAATTTATCTTACCATACAAAAAAATTGTCAATTAGAGCCAGAGCCAGTACGAACAAACTCATTCATTTAAGCCATTATTTACATATAAACATCGTTTATTTATTACTAGGGTGCAAGCCTAGAAAGATAGACAAACTCAGATAAGAAACATATAATAAGAAGCAAGAGCTTTTACAATATTTTTAATTAATTCCAACATTATATATCTAGCTAGTGTATATTCCCATCATCACGTTCTCTCCTTCTTAAGCCCTTGCTTCTTCATTATGCTTTAAATTAATTCTTAGCTTTTCCTCCGGCCGCCTGCAATAAAAAAATAAAAAAAAGAGGAACAAATTAATAGGAGTAAGAAAAATCAATGTATATTCATGTTGGACATATTGTTGAACCCCAAAGCTTAATAGGTAAAGAGCATAAATGTGAAGGAAATATATATATACCTTCTTTTTAGGGGCCGCTGCTGCAGGCTTCTGCTCGGTCTTCTTAGGGGCCGGTTTGGAGGCAGGAGCTTTGGGAGTAGCGGTGGGAGCAGTAGTGGGGCTGGGTTTGGGGGCTTCTTTCTTGGCCTGCCCTGATAAGTCAGCTGCACCAGCAGCAGCACCAGTCGCAGCAGGTTTATCGGCTTTGAGTGATGCCATCCTTCTTAACAATTTCTCCTTGCAAAAAGAGAAATAAGAAGTTGGTTGGCCTCGAGTTACAGCTCCACTGATGCACTGTCATATTTATAGGGTGAGATTTTGGAAAGAGGAACCAACATTTGCAATGGGGAATCAATAGATATTAGTGTAGGGGAATGGAATAACACGAACTGGAGATGTTTTGAGATGCTTGTATCGGATTCGGATTCCTTGCTTGGGCATTTTCTTCCCTCAAAACTGTTGTGTTATGCTTATTCTAAACCAAAAGTAGGCATCAAAAAAAGAAAGATATTGTGGCTTTTTGTTGAGTCCGCAAATTATTAAGCTAAGATGAATTATCTATATAGCAGTTTGGAATAACAACTTTAGTTTTAGTCTTTAGATGAGACTTTTAATTATAATCACAGTTGTCTCTCTACCGCCGCCTTGAAATTTTCACATATAACAATTTTAAGTGAAATGAAAGTTTAGGTTAATGATATAATTTTAAAGTGTGATTAGAATTTGATATTGATATCAAAAGTAAATTAAGAATAGTTGTTACTTATAAGTAAAAATATTATATCTTTTTTTTTATGAGGGACTTTTTAAAAATAAAATTGTGAATTTTACGAATTAAAATAGATAATACATCATGACAAGACTTAAGCGAGGTATTGAAATATCATAAAGTTAATTTCGCTCATCTCTTAATTGTGTTAAAAAATGGAGTTCTCTGTTCTAATCCTTGAATCATCACGAGTTCAATTTTGTAAAAAGCTTGTGTTTAAGATCATTTCCTCTGCTGTATTTCCATGAATTTGCCAATTCCTTGAAAGAATGCAATCAGGGAAACTTTTCACAGTAAATATAGACACAGTCCATGAAAATTTAAGAAACTATTCATTATTCACTTGATATTTTAACACAAGATCACGTAAATGAGAAACATATCCTTCAATTGTCGAGATGATCTAAAAAACTATCTAGTATTCATCTCCAGGCCAAGAGATCTTGTGTCAAAGATTCGTTCAGAATTCTTAAATTTGCAACCGAATTTGAAATCATCTTCTTCTATTTCCTACCTTACCAATTACATTGCAGTCACAAGCACACATTCCATCCGGGTTAGTGAGGAGTCCCCATTCTTAGAGCCACATAAGCCAGTAGCCTATATCCCACCAACATTATTGCCAAAGCACATAAATCCCACCACTTATTGCCAAGGCCGAGAAACTTGATTGCGGGAAAATCCACTACCCTGCAATGCATCCCTATTCCACATTCATAAGCCTCATATGCTGAGTATTGAACTTCCACCAGTAGCTTATAGCAGTAGTGGCTAAAAGAAATGTACTTCAACCAAGCGATGAAAGGAGGAACATGCAGAATGTAGTATCCTCCTGCTAATAGAAACACAAGCATTGTCACAGAAGCTAAGGTTGTTGCCTGTTTTACATCCATCAGAATGGCTCCGAGTGCTAGTCCTATCCCTTGAGAAACCAGCACGTTGAAAAGTGTGATCAAGAGGGTTAATACAAATGTGACCAGAGAAGGCTTGAGACCACCCATCCAATACGTGACAGTTACAAAGATAGTTGGAAGAACAAGCTCCATTGGCAAGTCACCAGCTATTCGAGCAAAGTAGTAGGAGGAAAGGCGATACATGCCAGAGGAACGTTCTTTGATTAGCATTGGGAGCTCTTGAGGGAACGCAAATATGGCATTGAACAGAGGAAAGAAACCCCAAAAGATGGAAAAGAAGAAGAGAAGTCCCACCTGCGTACAATATTGCAATCAGCATCAAAATTAGTTAATTAGAGGTCAAGATTTAAAGTTTGCAGTCTAATCTATATAGCAGCAACATGATAAAAATGTTTCTCATCCCTAATCAATGATCAGAGTTCAGCTGGTGTTGTTTCAAGATGATCGTCCAAAGTTCCTACTTCACGAAATTGCTAGTCTTAGAAGCAAATTCTATTGGCCACTGAAAGCCATGCCAAGGCAAGTGTACAGGATCACAACAATACCTGATCTTGTATATGCGAAGTATCGGAATGCCACCACAAGAGGCCAGAAAGAATTGAAACAGACATGACTTGGAAAATTCTTAGGCCTGAGTAAGACTCATGCTTCCTCTCCTGCAAACCCCTTCTCAGCAACACCTTGAATTGCTCCCACCAGGTTGTAGTCCACTGTACATCAAAATCTGGATGGAAACTAATGATCACTAACAATAATACATAAGAAAGTAATACTTACAAATTTAAAAGCTAAATATGCACCTAGAACAAAGAAGATAAGTTTCACTATCACTTACTTCTTTTTGATGGAGTTGTTGATGCAGATAGAGATGAATGTAGCGAATCTTGGTGAATCTCAGCCTTTAAAGCAGGGTATAGGTTCTTTTTGTAACAAGATATTAAGTGCTGTTTAGTTGAATTTTGATCATCATGATGGTCTACTCTGCCATGAAACTCCAGTTGGTCATCTTGTCTAACATCATGTGTAATACCTGCATCTCCAAACAGGATTAGAAAGTTAATCCTAAAAAATCAAAAAGTTTCATATTGGTTGATCATCTAACTACACTAGCTAGCCTATTTTCA